AACTGCAGTTCACAGCCCAGGGTAATACCAAAATAAGCAGTGGCAAGGCTAAAGTGCCAGGCAGTAGGCAGTGGTGGCAGAAAACTTGATGGATACTCCATTCATTCTTTCATTCTTCTACCACAGAGCGACATTTCAGCAAGTGGGAAATGTCCAATGACAGATAAATCCAACAAAAAATTCCTTCTTATCTCTGAATGAAGACATATAGCCAAACTTGAAGCTACATGTAGAGGAATGGTGCCTTCCATTTGTAGAATATAACTAAGAACACACCTCAACTCCCAGAAGTACTAAGAGGAGATAATAGCATGGAAGTGTCTTACAGCATCATACAGTTCCCATCCCTATAGCTGCAGCTTTTTAGCAGCTAACAGCCCAGATCATGAAAGACTGGGTCACATCTCACTTAGAATAATTCTCAACTTACACTGGCTGACAATGTTATGAATGTCACAGGGAAGATAAATTAGGAGAAAGTAATCTCTTTATCTCAGATACAAGAGATAAGGAACATTTGGTGACTTTTTAGGAGAATACAATTAAAACAAAGTGTTGTAAGACAACAGCTCACTGCAATGGCTTGTTATAGAGACATTCAAGACAAGACTGGCAGATCAAATTCACAGAATTCACAGAATGACTAGGTTGGAATAGATCTCAAAAATAATACAGTCCAACCCATGCCCTAACTCTTCAACTAAACTTGAATGAGCTAAATGAGCTCCTGTAGGATGAATCCCTTGCTAATTATTATGATCTGGAGAACACCTACAATGCAGCAGTCTAGTTTCCCTAAGCTGTGCAGGTGTATCTCATAGGGCAGCATTATACATGCCATATTTCCTGCATCCTTTCCAAAACTAGTGCCTTTTTGCACAGAAGACAGGGCAAGAGAGGTGAGAGGGACTTGTCATCAGGAACAGTGTGGCTCTTTTGAGTGAAGCACACATATATTGTCATTGGTGGTGTTTGTCACGTCCACAGAGACTGCAAGCACCATGCAGCTTTCCTCCAGCGTGCACACAGAGCTGAGTACAGCACTGCTGCAATCACAGCTGAAAGCTTCTGATATTGCTGCAGGACAAACATGGTAATATTAATAATTAGTGACTTAGATAAAGCTCACATTTATAAATTACCTATCTAAATCACTGAGGTCACATGCAGTATAATTGCTTTAAACAGATAGCTAGAGCTCTCCTCTCTCTCTAGGATCAGTGTTTCTACTTTCTCCCATGGACCAGCACTAGCACTGCTAATGTGACCTCCTGGGGAGCAGGCTCACACAGCTTACTCCTTCTTTTTCAAGTTACTTGTTGACCAGATCAGCTCCCTGAAACAGTGCAGTAGGGTCACCTCAGCATCATAGCAAAAGTGGTAACCATGTATGACAGTAGATGGGAGGGAGGGAAAGGGTAAGACTGACACATAACCTGACCTGGAGCATATACTGTATCTTGGCTAAAAAAGAAGGCTATGGGCACCATGAACCTGGGGGGTTTTCTAAGTCAGAGCTGCACAGTCCCAGCCACAGTGACTGCCATCCTGAACTCCTCTGCAAAGATTCAGAGAAGTCTCCATAAGGTTGTGGGGAGATGAGCAGAGCAGTGTCCCAGCTGCACACACCCTTGGCAGACTGGGGCAACCCCAGGCATTTACAAAGACAACAGCAACTGCCAGAAATTAACTGCTCTGCATAGGAGTCCTCCTTCCAAATATGAAACAGGGAACACTAAGTTTGGCCCCTAAAACGTAGATGTAGTCGAGTGTTCCCCATAATTTCAAATGCTGCTTCTTCTCATGAGGGACTGTGCCTGTGGGGTCTGGGAGAAGCTGGAAGTACTTTCTGTGTGCTGTTCAGAGGTTCATGTTGTGTATCCAACTGATCAGCAAGACACTAAATGAAAATTATTTCTCCCAGACATCTTTGGGAATTCATATTACTGCCAAGTGTACTCCAGGCTCAAAATACAAATGTCTAGTCTGCAAAGTGTTCCCATGGCCTTAGGACACCAGTCACCAAAAAGAAAATTGGATATGATTTTACCAATAGGCTTCTCTGCTGAGAGAAACTTCTCATTTTTACATATACATAAATAATTTGTTTCTCAAAATGCACCTTCTAGCAAAAATAGCTGTCAAGTAGACAGCAATGAAAAGCTGTAAGTACCACCAGGCTATGATTTACATTCACCAAAACAGTTGGAACTACTTAAGGATAGGCTCCAGCACAAGGAATTCTGCCTTCAAACAGAATAGAACCCAAGTAACACCTCAGGCAGTGAGAAAAATTTGCCCAAAACGTTGCCAAAACAACCCCATGTTCAAAACAAGAGGGAATAAATAAGTCTCTCAGGACAAAAGGCTCATCTCTTTGCTCCAGGTGGCCTGTCCAAGCAGTCCTCCCACAATGTGCAGCAGAAAGCACAAGGTTCAGCAGGCACTCTCTGGAGATGGGGAACTCACCAAGGTCAACAGCAAAGGCTGGCAATGGCTTTCTCCAGGGCACCTCTTGAACTATCCACCCACATAACTTTAACCTAGCTTTCTTTCTATTTAAACTGATTTACATTTGTTTTACATGCTAATGAACCTACCAAAAGAGGATTGCAGACCCTAGGAGGATTCCCCAAGTCTCTTGGTCTCAGGTCTTTTTCTGACTGCAGGGGGAAAAAGCACAGGGTTTGGCCACCACTTGCATTTCAACAGCTACGGATCACACAGTTTCATATCACAGAAACTGTTCCAAATACTTAAAATATTCTCCCTCAAACCACTCAAGTTTAATTTTTCTCATAAAAAAAAAAGATTTAAAATAAAAGGCATGTTTCTTCAAACCAAAACACTGTCAGATCAGACACTGGCACAAGTTCAGACCTAACGTTTGTGAGGTTAGATCAAAGCAGAACCCCAGAACTAAAAGGCAAGGAATGAACAGGTCTGAATCTCTGCACTGTGGGTTTTTTTTTTGAAAACCAATGTAGTTCCTACAGTGCATATTATTTAATGGTAATGGGTAAGGCATTTCCCAATGTACCAGGAGGGTGCAGGAGTGCAGCACACCCAGGAATCACATTCAAGCAGAACAGACCACCAAGATGGGAGGCAACAAGAAAGGCACAGATGGAAGTAGCTTAAAGCGAATGCTGAGAGCTGGAGGGAAAATCTTCTGCAAGGATTACAATGCCTCAGAACCAGTGCTGGGAGCCTCGAGCAGGTGGCTGCTTGTTGGCCCATAAGTTAAACTCTATTTTATTACTTGAAGGATTCGAAGAGAGCTCCCTCTTCCATGCCCCAGCAGACTGTCTGCCCACTACTCACTCTGCACTTCTTCCCTCTGCCACCCCCTGTGCATAACACCAGCACAGTGCTGTGAAATGCAGCGCAGGGACAGAGCTTGCAGAGACCTGCTCAGGCATTTTAAATCACAGTTCTGTCTGAAGCTGCTCAGAGCAGATTAAACATGCAGTTGTAAAAACACCTGGGGTAAAATCCCAGCCCTGTCACATTAACAGCTCCCATGTTCAAAAGCTTACTGGAGCTTTGCACAAAAAGAGGATCATGCACAAAATTTTTGGCTGTATACACAGAAACAGGAAAATTTATTTCAGCCTATGGCCCCCACATCACTGGTCTCTGTGCTAAACCATGGACAAATAACATCCAGAAAAACATCAGGGGATTGAGACACTCATGTCAACAAGCTGGCCTCCACCAGAACAGGGGGACTAGGGGAAAGATTGACAACTGGGACCCTCTTGACACTCAGTTGTCAGCTTCAAATTATCTCTTTTAATATCATTTGAGCACTGTTCTGCTGCCAAAAGTATGTGGAAATTTCAGAGACTGAGGGCCTTGCAGCAAGGTCAAACTCATGTACAAAGTCAAATGCGATGCTGAGCACTCAGAATTACAGCCAACTGGCATGGGGCAACCTGCCAGCCACTCACAGGGTCAGGGACTCTCACCCCAATGGGACCGGTGGGAATTCCCAGTGCTCAGGATCAACTTCTCAGAAGACGACACAATCAAACACCATACTGAATCATCACTCCACCATGGTCCTACTCATTTCAAGAATTTGTTTCTTGGATCAGGACAAGTGAAGAAAGTTCTCTTAATCTGTGAGGAATGTTGAGGGGGGAAAAATCTGGTTTTGTCCTTTTTCTTGTACACATATGCAATTTGCTTTCCTCCTGTAGAAATTCAAGGCTGACAGCCTAGACAGCACACAGACCCTGAGGAAGGTGATTCAAAAATGCTCTTTATTTAGTTTTCCTGAGCTCAGATGAAAGAGCAGCAAAGGAGAACAGATCACTTTGGCATCTGGGAAGAGGTGCAAAGAAACACTGAAGGGTCCCCACTGAGGCTGTCATTCTAAAGGCCTCTCAAACAATGTTGAAGAAATACTCAATGACTCTTGGAAAAGAATATCAGCATATATCATGCATTTTATGGCAAATTTTGGTTAAGCAAATATGCCAGATTCAACAGTCCCATTGGGCTGTATGTTCAGATTTTGTGGATACTTCCAATTCAATACAGATTTACCCAATTCCCAACTTCAAGATACACCAATCTTTTAGGAGATCTTAAATGTGGAGATTGGGTGGCCTGTGCCTGTGTAACTCAGCTAGACCTGTCATCACTGCCTTTGCAAAGATACAAACAAACCACATGTTTGCAGCACACTTGCCTTACCCTACAATGTCACCAATCGAGGATGAAAGCATGCCAGATATTTCCTTCCAGCTGCTAAATCAGAACCATTTTGCTTATAGAAAATCTGCCAACTACAAAAATAACTTAATTCCAGGTGGTTAGTGGTGGGCTGGGTGGACCAACAGTACTGCTGTCCATACAAAAAACATCATGATTTAGCCAAGAATGTTTAGAAAAGAAAAACCCTGGCTGACATACGAGGAACACCAACTTTCTGTGTGTGATCCACTAAATTTATTGCTCCAGCTGATCTGAATTATATCTTGCATTTGCAGATTTATTTCAAATGGCATTTGTGAGTAAAAGAAAAACCTGAAATAAGAATCTTCAGTAGTTCTTCCGCAAATAAGGGCTGTTGTTTTTATCAACATAAGGAGAAATCGCCGTGCTAACACCAATAATGTGTGAAAGCTAAAAGCCAGCACTGGCAAGAGGAGAACTCTTGCTAAGAATTGACAAATTTTTCAAATATGACTAAACTGAGGTAAGGCCCAAGGTTTCCTAAAGCCACAGCAGTATCTGAGAAAATAATTAAATCCTGAATGTATCACGGACAACTCTACAGTGTCTGGCTCTTTCTGATGTCTCTACCCTAAACACTTCATCTATACCAATAAAAGGTACAACTAAGTTGAAAGAGTATTAAAGATGGGCTGGGTTTATCAAAATGAACAAAAATGCATGTTTATTTTCTGAGGCTTAAGGGCTATCCCTTGAAGTGTAACCAATGCAAAAATGCATAGCTCATTCCCTCTCTGATACAGTCTCAGCAGAGAGAGATTTGTGCAGTGTTCTGTTTCAGCAGGAAAGCTGCTAGTTGGTTGACAGGTGACCCTACAATGTGTGATATCCTCAAGTGCCATTTCACAGCCTTCAATGGCAAATTACTACCAATAAGCCTGGTTCAGCCAGCTAGGTCTAACTCCAGCCCACAGACTGTCCCATCCTAGTCCTGCAGCACTGTCCCGAAGCCTTTCCAAGGAAAGGTGGAGTGCTGCACCTGTCTCTGCAGCCAACCCAGGGCTGAAGCACTTTCACCTCTTCTGCCAAAGACCACACCATTGCAAATGAAGCACAGAGGTGATGGAAAGCCTGTCAATAACACCAAGTGCAAGCTGAGAAGGGGTGAAAATGGTGTCCCACTCACACCTGAATTTGCACAGTTTGCTCTCTACAGAATTTTACTATTTACAAAAGGGTTTGACCTTACATTGTGTGCAACAAAAACCTTACAGGTAGAGAGCAATATGTTCATTCTCTGTTAGCTTTAGCTACACATACCAAACAAAAGAGGACAACAAAAAATAGGCTTGCAAGTTGAGGATGAAATGACAACAGAAAAAGACACGAGAATAAAAATCTTAAATTTCTAACCTTTCTCTTTTAGTAAAGGAAAACTTTAACGTATACTACTTATTACTCTTGATTGTTCAGACTCACTGAGCCTGTGAACACGCTATGAAATTAAAACTTTCTTCTTCATACTTTCAATGAATTAGAACATAATACTCTGCCCATATTCTTGAGTCACCTTCTGACATAAAGGTCTCAGCCCTGACCTCTAGAACACAACTAAAAAGAATTTGGCTAGCTGATATGAAACAGAGCTTCCAAAATGTTTGTGACATGAACCTTAATAAAGCTGTGATAAAAATGGTTTTCAGAAGGAAAATAACTGCCAGGCCTGGAATACTCTGAAAGCTCAGTCCAAGGAAATTAATCTGTGATTAACACATTTTCATCATATTCTACAGAAACAGTGTTTCTTCTTTGGGAAGACAGTGCCTTTATAATGATTATTGGGAGACTGGGTGTGATATAAGTCTCCCTTCATCTTGAATACTTATTTCAGACATACACACTCCTCCCACCAGTAAGTTCTGATACAAGCTTTACTTTACAGTGTGGGAATGACTTGCATTTTCACCCATGTGGCCAACATCTATCATGTGTACTTTGCTCTGCCTCTGAATTAATTTGGAAGTCCTGTGTGTGCACTGGGATCTCTTGCTTCAGCACACATGCCACTGGCTGTTTATGATAATGACAGGCAATGGTGCAGCTTCTACTGAAAGGAGTTCCTGTTTCATGGTCCTGTACTAAGAGCCGCCCGGGGAAGTTACATGTCAGAGTTGAGTCACTCTCACAGTTCATCACTGCTAAAAGTAGCACGTCCCATGCTCCAGCCCTACCCTTTCTTCTCTCCATCCCAGCCATGCTAACACACCCTTTCTTTTGCATCAAACTAATGTTCATTAGAGCCTTCACTGAGCTGATTCAGTTCATTAACCCAGGAGCAAACAATTCACTTTTTTGTCATGTTAGTTTTCTTCCAGGCCAGTGGGTTGAATCTGTTTCACGCAGGGCCTGACTAGTGCTAGACATGCTGCTGGCCAGGTGCAGGAGAGAGGGGCCATAAGAGCAGGACAGAGCCCTGGATATCCCAGCACAAAAAGAGATGATCAGCTGTAACATGTTGTCGCTTTATCTTCAGCAGACTGACCCTGGTGGAACGAGGTTTCTTTGCAGCCAAAGAGTGAAACAGCTGCAGCTCTTCTCCTTGAGCTCTCAGCAGCATGCCATGAACCCTCAGCCCAGTAAGGAAAGGCCCTGACAACCAACAGGAACACTCTGAACCTTATCTATTACCCTATGGTCAGCCAAGGGAAAAAGTGACTTTGATGCATTCATTACAGTCACTGGTGGTAGAGAAATACACACTCCAGCTTTCTGTGCTTGCCTATGGCTAACAGTTTTAAGATTGCTTGTACTGAGTGGGCATTTCACCACCTGCAATCAGGTGGGGTTTTTGGGGGGGGAAAAAAAAAAACAAACCAAAACCACCCACAAAAAAACCAAAATAGTTCTGTACAAAGTTGGAGATAAAGCTGATTCTGGAAAGGTACAAAGTTTGTCATATTCCTAATCCTAAAGGCCTCCTTTTTTCTATCCTTATTGCAGATCACCTATTTCTCCCTGACTACTCCTGCTCCTTGCCAGTATTTCAGACAACTTCAGCCTATTTGCATGCCTCCTCATGCACAGAGACCCTACCTAATTGCCTTTATACAGCTCCTGCAGCCTGTTCCTTTTATAAGGCCTCTAAGACCATTGCTCTACCATGCACAAGATATCAACTACTAATTAATAGCCAGAAAGCAAAAATCTTACATGTTTGTATTTGCACATGAGTATGTATCAAATACTTATATACTTAAATATCTGTAGTATATTTAATACTACTCTTTCCCCTCTCCCTCTAATGTTTGAATGACAGGGCAGCTAAATTCCATTGGAGCTTAATTTCTGTGACTTGGAAAAATATCATTTTAAGGTGCAATTCTATAGTACACTGGATATAGCTCTGTCCAGTTTCTTCACACAAAAAATAAAACACATCACTGAACCTGTGTGTCCTGACACTCCCTTCCAACAATGAAAGTGTTTTGTTACTTTTCCTTAACAATAGCTAGGAGGGAAAGGTTCCTTCTCCACAGCTGTTTCTTGACAACCTTCAGTACTCTACAATGACTGACAGACCTTTCAACAGAGGAGGTTGAACATTTATTCATCATGAATTGATAAAAGCTTTTGATAACCTGATAAAAGGATATAGTTGATTGCTTTGGTAAAGAGTCAGGATTTCAAAGATTGTAAAGCAGTGGATATCGTAAGTATTTAAACCATTTTATCAAAAGCAGAGTTAGCCTGCATAACTCATTTGCTCAATGATACTCATCTACATATTAGCCTTATACACACTGATACATGCCTCTGATACATGTCAGCTTTCAGTTTGATTTTTGGCTTTACTTCCTACTGTGTTTTGCACCCCAAATGCATTGCTTGTGACTTCCCAGCCAAAGTGAGCGAGTTCAATTCATAAAGCTTGTGCAAGCAGCTCCCTGATAACTTCTGCCACCACCACAGCATCCACGATACAACCAGTACTGGGTAGACTTAACATCTACAACAGAAACTTCTCCAAAAGCCACTCTTGCCACCTTTCAGTTCTTCAGTGAATTGAAGCATTTTTGCTGTGCAGTGAAAACCCCTGCAGCTCTGAAGATTATACAGGAGGAAAGCAAAAAGGTCCCTGTAGGTTGTAAAGAGGTTATGGTTTCCTTCCAATAACAGTTCCTATAGCCTTTGATATTCTATCCACTTTATCATTTCCCCCAGTTTTGCAGAACAGCAGCTGTCATAACAGAGCTCATCTTCTGCACTGCCTGTCACTGCATGGAGGGAGATCGCTGAGGATGGAGAAAACACTTGTAGAGAATCTTCAGCTTGCCTTGGCTATGAGGCAAAGATGAGTCACTGCCTGACCCGGGAGTCAGGGGTCACCCCCTCTGGGGAGTCACTGCCTTGTTCAGTCCACTCGCAGCTAATCCCCCGTGAGTGGCTCTCGCCAAAAGATTTCTTTATCCCCTTGACTGAAAAAAAATAACAACAGAGTTAACAAGCCCAGTAAAAATCCATGACTCAGGCAAATCCTCAAGGATCAAGTGGGGAGTGGGAGGGAACATAAACTAATCCGAGAGTCCAAAATGTCTTTTGCCAAAGCCTTTTAAAAAACAAAAACTTCACTAGGGTCTCCTCGTTAGTGGCGATTACAGGGGAGGCATTTCTTTCTTTCTTTCTTAACTAAGAATCTCTTCTCAACAACACAAACAAGGGTGCCCATTGACTTGGTGCAGTGCTTTCTAATCCATCTGAGCAGCTGGCTTTGTATGTCTTTTATACATACTGATGGAGGAAAAAGGAAGGCTTCTTGGGGAGAAGAGACTCTGTCTCTTCAGTGAAAATACTTGCTTTACTACTGGATGGCCAGCACTGCTCCCGGGGAATAGATGCAATTCTTTTTCTTTTATAGAAGCATTTTACAGTACATAGTTTTTAATATCAGCAGTGACTCACAGAAGTTATAAGGGATAATTTTCTTCTTTGTTCCCCAAGAGAAAATTATCAACATCTCAGACATTGGTTCTGCCACTAGTTTTCAAATCTGCAAACATCAGCCCAGGTTTCCTGGGGTTAAAATAAAAACACAAGTGATGTCACTAAATTTCAATAGATGCCTCACAAATGAACAGGAGGACAACCCAGGGCAGCCATACACAAGAGCAAGCAAAAGCTTCCTATGTACAGTAGGGCTTCGATATACCTGTGAATTGCCTGCAATACCAGCTCACAGTGCTCAATTCCTAGGTCTATTTAAGGGGTCCAGCATGGGAAAAATAAACCCTCAGATGCTGTCACAGCTTTCAATGGTTCCTCACTTGCACCCATACTATTGCAACAGCTCAGAGTTGCAGGAAGAAAGCATTTCCCTCCATTCCATGTCCCTGCCATGTGGCCCCTTGTGCTCCTAAGGGCACCATCTCCAGCATTTACTTTTCCTTTCACAGAGCAAATAACAGCCAAAAAACCAAGCAACCAGCCAAAAAACTCACAAAAATAAGAGCTGTCATTACTACAACAGGTGGGAATGGGTGCTGACAAGGCACAAACCTTCTCCTTGCAGTCTAGGAC